TGCCAAGAAGTGATTTTTTGAGGTGGTGCACTGGAAAAAAAACACATTGGATCTAGAGTCCAAACTCTTGAAAACATTGACAAGAAAAAGGACTCTTGATTCAATCATATTTAAGCTTAAATCAAAAGGAAATCCGCTGAAATTAAGAGGCTTGGTTCTTGATTTAAGCGTAAATCTGATTGAATCAAGAGTATTTTTTCTTGTCGATGTTTTTAAGAGTTTGCGGCGCTGGACTCTAGATCCAACGTGTGTTTTTTCCAGTGTAGAACGCGGAGCGTCCGTTAAGGACCGGGTCGCGGAGTGGTCAGGGGCGCAAAACCCTCCCTAAGTTTGATTAATGTTAAAATTGCTCAAGAAGTGGCATCGTGGGTGCAGATAGACTCATCTAGATGGTGTGCTTTCTAGCTAACAAAACAAGCCTCAAATTATCGAACGGAGCCGATGATATAGGTTCGGCGCCTCAGGCCCCGGGGCTCCAGTTATGACCCTGAACCCTCTCCCTTTCGACCGAAAATCCTGCTTTATGGTCAACTTTCCCGGCTCCAGGCCGAGTCTCTACCGTCTTTCGTGACTAAATTCTAACGATCAAATGCCAACAGCTTTCATCGGACAGCTCGAATTCAATCCCAGTGAATATCGCAATGAATTTCATTAAACGTTATGCTCTTTATTTTTCTTTACTCAATCGTGAGTCATTGTGAACTAAGAACTCTTTTCCCCTTGGGTGGTAAAATATAGGTTGCAGATCAATTTCACAAAACGACACAGCTATCCCAAGTAGCATCTTTTAACGGAAAAATCGCTAAATTTTGAAATTAAGTTGCGATTTAATTACGATTTTTTGGAGATAAAATCGATAGGATCATCGACATCCGAGTGATTATCCTCGATCCTCGATCTTGTCGCAATTTGGTCTCTATAAAATCGCGTTTGATAAAATCGAAATTTTATCCCAATTCATCATAATTTTCTATTTGATAATATTGCGATGAATCGCGATTTTACTGCAAGTTTATGCGCTAAAGTCAAAATGATTGCAATATTTTATCTGATAATGTGATTGCAATAAATCGAGATACATTCTCCGATCAAATCGCAACGTATCTCGATCACTGCTACTTATTGGCTCCAGTTGCTTCAACATTTTGCGGCAACTTTTACCCCAATATGTTCTTTTCTCTGCTATCAATAACTCAATTTTAAGTTTTTGTAGACTTACGGCCTTTTTCCTCGGGCCGGCCACAAATAGCTTTTAGGAACATGCACCCCTCAATCTTCTCACGATGTTTAACCGCCAGTCGCTTTCACCGACATTCACCCGCTTCCCTCAACAGATCATGAAGGCTTAAGGGTTGATCCCTTCCGTGCCTTCACCCCTCATCCAACGCCCATTTGAAATTCAAATTGTCCCCGGGAACAACTGGATGGCTAAACGCTACGAATCGCTCGCCGCTCTGCAAAAGCTTCCCGCGAAGTTCGCTCCAAATTGCAACATTGAAAAAAACCCGCGGATGAATGATTAATTCCCCCCCCCCTAAATTAACTCAAGCTTTAAGAAAAGTAGCTAGAACGCAGCGTATTCGCATGAAATGAGAGGGGAGCTTTTGCCGAAAGTTTTTTAAGGGATGCCATTCACGCAATCAAATGAGTTTAAAAAGCTCTTAAAAATAATTTAAATTAAACCCACGATGATTGAAAAGTAGTCGCTCAGCTCGTTGCTTTTCAGTGGAAATGGCTTTCATACACTGTGAGCACTCATATTACTGAAGTCATTTTGTAAGTCTTAAGTCTCATGCGAAAGATTATTCAAGTCGCAAGGAACGACGTTGAAATTATTCACTGGGTCGAAATAATTTCGATCAATTGTCATCATTTACTACACATCCTAAACCCTTTGCGGTTCGAAATTGGATTTATCCGACAGGACAGGGCTCCAACCCAAATCCCTGGACTTTTGAAAAGCAAAAGGAGCCTCTCGCTTTACTTGCTTTCCAACAAAAAATGCATAAATAGAAATTTGTGTAATTAGAACAACCATTGAATGCCCGGCGTTGCCGGTTGACAGTCTAAAATGTCCTTTTTTACACTTTTATCGGGGGTGGCAAGGGACTCTTTGCACGCGATGTGGCAACGGTGGACGGAGGGCAATTCAATCGATAGGACGCGCACACGGCCAGACGAAGTTCACAGAGTGGTGACGCGAAATTAGTCGGGAATTTTGATAAGTGGATGTTTTAAAATCACGACCACTTTCCGGTCAAAATGAACCGATCCCTGCAAGCACAGTGGATCAACGTGATTCCACGCAGGGGTTAATTAGGTTGTGTAATCTGTAGCACGGTTGAACGTAATTTGCCCGAGCCCCAAATGCAAATAAAAATGTCATACATTTTTATAAAAAATTTGTCCATTACTTATTTGCGGCAATCTTCTTAGGTGAGGCGCGTTTCGGAACTCGAAGCTCCATCATTAGTCGGCAGCGAACTCTCAATCAGCAAAAACGAGCGTGATATGGAAATGAGACAAATGAGAGGCGACGCGCGTTGATGACGGCGCAGAGATACAACTATTCGTACTTGATGGATGTCCGTGTTGCGTCTGTAAAATTGAAGGCGCGATGGCGCGTGGCGTGAACTCGCAATGCTCCGCTGTATCCTACAGAAGAGGTGTCGCTCTAATTCGGAAGAGAAGTTTGAAAACGAGGTCCGAATACGTCTCTCGTATCTCCGGCTTTGTGGCTCACGTAGCCTTTGATGCTCCACTGCAAATATAAGATAAACTGAAACAAAATCAATATGAAATTAGTGCAAAGGCGAAAGGACGTGCATTGATAACGGCGCAGGGATACGAATATTCGTGCTCGATGGATGTCCATGTTGCATCTGCAAAATAGAAGGCGCGATGGCGTGAGGCGTAAACTCTCAAGACTCCGCTCTATGCTGCCCATGAGCTGTCGCTCAGTTTCGGGAGAAAAGTTACAATACGAGACCCGATTTCGTCTCTCCTATGGCAGGAGAGAAATAGAAGCATGGGAAATAATATAATACGGCAAAAAATAGAAAAAGAGAAGTATCGTGCTAACAACAGAAAAACTAGAAAGAGCCATATGCTGTAAGAAAAAGTCTAAAGTTTGAAACCAAACCGCAAAGTAACAAACAAACAAAAAAAACCCGGCGGCCATGCGCCCCTCCAGACTTCCCACAGCAGGGTCTGTGGGGGTGCCCTTCACAACTCTGTTGTGGACGGAGATTACACATACGTTACTATTTCGTGTGCAATTTTAGAGGTAAGCTCGACAAGATGGTTGAAACGATCAGAAATTGGACTGCGTTCAGCAGAAAGGAACCAAGCCACATCAGCTAATGCCAAACTTGATTGGGCAATTTATTTTTTTACGTTTTGTGGATTTTCGTGCAAATTTCAGTGAATTTTTTACATAATACGAAGCAAATTCCTTAAAATTCTCAAAGGAACCCTCACAAAAGTTCTCTTGTAAACAAATCATTTCTCAATTAAATTTGGCACACTGAAAAAAAAAAAAAAAAATAGAACGCGGAGCGTCCGTTAAGGACCGGGTCGCGGAGTGGTCAGGGGCGCAAAACCCTCCCTAAGTTTGATTAATGTTAAAATTGCTCAAGAAGTGGCATCGTGGGTGCAGATAGACTCATCTAGATGGTGTGCTTTCTAGCTAACAAAACAAGCCTCAAATTATCGAACGGAGCCGATGATATAGGTTCGGCGCCTCAGGCCCCGGGGCTCCAGTTATGACCCTGAACCCTCTCCCTTTCGACCGAAAATCCTGCTTTATGGTCAACTTTCCCGGCTCCAGGCCGAGTCTCTACCGTCTTTCGTGACTAAATTCTAACGATCAAATGCCAACAGCTTTCATCGGACAGCTCGAATTCAATCCCAGTGAATATCGCAATGAATTTCATTAAACGTTATGCTCTTTATTTTTCTTTACTCAATCGTGAGTCATTGTGAACTAAGAACTCTTTTCCCCTTGGGTGGTAAAATATAGGTTGCAGATCAATTTCACAAAACGACACAGCTATCCCAAGTAGCATCTTTTAACGGAAAAATCGCTAAATTTTGAAATTAAGTTGCGATTTAATTACGATTTTTTGGAGATAAAATCGATAGGATCATCGACATCCGAGTGATTATCCTCGATCCTCGATCTTGTCGCAATTTGGTCTCTATAAAATCGCGTTTGATAAAATCGAAATTTTATCCCAATTCATCATAATTTTCTATTTGATAATATTGCGATGAATCGCGATTTTACTGCAAGTTTATGCGCTAAAGTCAAAATGATTGCAATATTTTAAAAAAAACACATTGGATTTAGAGTCCAAACTCTTGAAAACATTGACAAGAAAGAGGACTCTTGATTCAATCAAATTTAAGCTTAAATCAAAAGGAAATCCGCTCAAATTAAGAGGCTTGGTTCTTGATTTAAGCTTAAATCTGATTGAATCAAGAGTATTTTTTTTTTTGTCGATGTTTTTAAGAGTCTGGAATATAGATCCAATGTGTTTTTTTTTCCAGTGCAGTAACTGATGTGGCTTGGTTCATCTCTGCAAAACGCTGTCCGATCGATCCTCCAGTGACCATACTCTCCAAATCTAGTTACTCCACCCTTTTCTTGCATGTCATTCAAATGACACGTGCATACTTCACCAATAAAGGCACCAGCATTTTATTTCCTTTAGCGCATAGGTGAAGGCGGATAGGTGAGCGCAGCGACTCGAATGAAACCGATCAGGTGCATGGTCGTGTGTCAGGCGCCCGCCAAGCTCGGTGCAACACGGCGGTGCATCGGCGCGGTGGTGCATAAGAGCGAGAATCACACGGAGACCGGACTACCGAACTCGAAAAGAGCAAGCGAGATGCAGCGAGGGTCGCGTGGCTCAGCTTCGGCCGCGCTTCCCAGAGGGCGCTGCCTGTACTGAAATTCCCTCCTCAGCTCCCGCATTCGACAGTTCGACTCTGCCGCAGCCGACGCGAGGTCTGTGCCCGTGTGCGCCGCAGCTTTTATCAGTTCCGACAAAGGATTTCAGTGCGAATTTTCGTCGTTCCCGAATATTGTGGTGCTCTCCCTCTTGATGGTTTACAATAAGTGCATCAACTAGTGCAATAATCCTGGATATATTTTCACACTCCTTATCCTGTCGGCTTGCCGATTGCTGTGGTTGTTACCTTTCACTCGCAATGTTTACGTTTTCCTCTGAGCTCAGATGATCGGAAAGTCTGAACTTCGTGTTTCCGTACTTTAGCATAATACTTAATCAAAGTGTTAATTCCTTGTGCGCGCGCGGAATCTGGTGAATCTGTGAGCTTTGTAGATAATCTTCGGGAGTTGATCTCTTCGAATTTTTAACTGGGATCTAGATTGTGTGTGCAGAATCGTGAAATTTGTTCCGACTGCGTCTGTGTGCAATATCTGTTGATTGATTTTTAGTTCGGTACCGGCTAATATTTAAGTCTCGTTAGTGGATTCATTGTGATATTCTCGCGAACCTTCTCCCTGTTTTTAAATTAATAGGTCCAACTTATCATTTTGCCGTTGGTACCCTCTTGCCGGTTCAGGTGTTTGATTCTAGTTGTTAAAATAGTTGTGTCTGTTCAATCCTCGTCTGTTGGATAACCTTTCTTGGATTACTTGGATAACTTTACCAACAGGTATGCAAATTTCATGAACCAAAGCGTTTTTATACTTTTACCAATTAATAGACAACCTTATAAAGAGGGAATTTAGTGCATTTTGATTCTTTTGAAAGTTATGGAATCTTACCATGAAGTTCTGTGAACTGAAGAACTGAGCAGTGTTGTTCAATCTTCATCTCGTGCATTTTTCTGGTGGGGGCATTTCACTCAGCGATTGCTGGATGAGTATTTTCTTCCATTATTTTTGGAAGTGAAATCTTAAACCATTTACGCCTCCCACCAATCGATACTTCAGGTATGCATTATTGTATTACCGGGAATCTAATTCGGTCGGCTGAAAAAATAAATAAATATTAACAGTAATAATACTTACTCAAGTCCTTACCTATAACTTCTCCTGAATTTTAATTTTTAACGCGAAGAGGGAAGTACATTCTATCCACCCTAATTGTCCCTGCTCAGTGCTCTTCCAATTTCTAAGAAGTAGATATTATACATTTTTTTATCTTGTTTTATGCAACGATTAAATCGATACCGAATCAAGTATACTTTTTTATTATTTAGATTTGTCTCAACAATCTATCAATTTACTGAGAGATGTTCAGAATATTTTTTAACAATAACTCCAGAAAAATAACTACGTTTGGTGTTGTCTGTGATAGTTCGCTGTCCTTTACTCTCTTTGCCACGTATATAATTTTATGTTCTAGCTTTTTAAAAAAAAAAGTGCCTAAAGACAAGTAAGAAAAATCCAGCAGTACAGTACCAGATATAAGAAATCAAGTAATAAATAAAGAAGTATTCACGGAAGTCACGAAGGTATTCTATATTTGAAGTAAAAGCTAGAGCAACATTCCGTAATTCGCGAAATACGTTTTTAGTGCCCCGTGCATTTGTTTATGTGACTTGTTTATGGTATGATGGAAATTAAATGCATTTATGAAATAGGGCTTTACTGCTCGGAGCTAACACACCTTCTCATGCTGAAGCTGATTCTGCATGCACAAAGCCGGAGAAAGTGGTGAAAAATTACCTTGGAACTTGATGATTTACGAAACGTCATCCTTCGATGACATCGAAATTCATCAGAATCTTCCCCTGAAAGGCACAACGGGCCCAGCGTGATGCAGCGTGGTTGCAGGCCATTAAAAATGCATTAATAAATAGAAATCGCAACCTCTGGTCGCGGCATTTCCTCTACTTGGCAGTTTGTCAACAGGACATGCCCCTGCACCTGGGGTCATAAAAAATAATAATGTAACAACGATAATGAAACCGAAAACCAATTAGCCGAATAGAGTAAATTTTTTGCGGGCCCTTCTAACCCGTTAAATACTGTCGTCGAAGTGTTTCATTGAACTGCATCTAAATTCATGCTGATAAGAGGTATGAAAAAGCGTTTTCACGTAGATCATTATTTTTTCCCCTCCTCCAGAGAATTCCCCGAGGAAACGTGGTGCAAACACACAGTATGGATTTTTAAAAAAAATTAAAATAAGCTCGGTAATGCCCACGATACTTTGATGGACCGAAGTCAAACTGAAATTTGAATGACATGGTATTCTTATAAATTGTGACGTTAGAGTGGCAGAAAAATATTAGACCTATCCGCCTACATTCCCCCGGTAAAAATTCGGTGACAATTCCCAAACCACGTATATCAGTTTGGCGTTGGCTTCTTGTTATCTCCATGAATATTTCCAGGGAGAAAATGTTTTTTATCGCCTCTCAAAATCTGCCGTGTTTTTTCTTCTTCATGTAAGGAATAATCTGTGAATACCTATTTTGAGGAATGAAGTTGATTTTTTCTCCATTAAAAAAAGTAAAATGAAGTACCTAGTGAAATGAACAGTGAAGTTTTGAAATACAGTAATCGAGCTGGGTGGTTTTGGACTTTCGACGTCGATTTCCTGTTAAAGCCGTCTCTAATTTTGTCAAAATTGCAGACGTATCGAAGAGGATAATCGCCCATTAGTACAAAATTACTTGGGCCAGAAATAGGAAAAGCAGCAGTACTTAACTTAAATCACTCACCAAACTATACTAGATTCAAGAGCAAAATAATTACTCCACAAACATTTGGCACTCTTTCATTTTATTATCAAGCGAAATAACGTTCCAGATGTAAACGTTTATTGATTAAAATTTCTTTTAGATTTCAATCGATTTTATTCTGATGAGAAAATTTTAGAATGGTACCCAGTACCTGGTACTAACCACCCTATCTCCCCTCATCCTTTATCAGTGAGGTGTTTACTATTTAGGTCCGATTTTTCGTATTTTTGTTCACATCAAACAATTTGTGAAAATTTTTTGTCCCTCCGTTTATTTAAATATATTTATCGCGAATCTATTAATTACACACCCAATCAATGAAAACATAGGTTTATTAATTCTTTAAATCTGAAAAGGATTTTATTCTTCACCGCTGGTTACTTCGTCGTTTCCCGTAGGAAGGAACGTAACTCCAATCCAAAATTGACTCAAACAATTCAATTTGTTCACAGTGCAACTTCCCACCTAAATTTTTACAATTTGCCCATGTGATCAGAAGAAATATCAGGGAAATTTTCATCTAGAGATGCCGAAAATTCCTCTGGTATAACTGCAATTTGCTAGGGAAATTCGGCAAAATTGACATATAGTTACGTGCTTTCGTGAGAAAAACTGCGACTTCGAGTGCAATACTGGGAAAAAAGTAAATGCTGTTTTTCTTGACATTGGCACCGCTGATATAAGTACTTATACCGAGTTTTCGCCTCTCCTGATAGGTAGCCTTAAAGAAAAACTCCTGATGAAACAGCAGTTTCCGGGGGACATTTGAAAACATTGAAATATAGTTACGTGCTTTTGTAAGAAAAACTGCGAATTTAACCGCAACACCGGAAAAAAATTAGATGATGTATCTCTTTACTTAGAAGATTTTCGGTACTGCTCACATAAGTACTTATTCAGAGGTTTTGCCTCTCCTGATAGCCTTAAAGAAAATTTTTAAGCCGAACTGAAAACTCGGATAATCCTTTTTGAGGGCAGCGCCTAGATCCCCGGGCGAGTCGGATGCAGCGGCTCCTCCATTATCCCGGAGGAGGATGAAAAGCACAAAGCTCAAACCAAAGAGGGTCAACAAAAATAAGACGCGAACAAAGAAGACACGACCCGAATAAATAAAGTGACCCAACAACGAAAACACCGGGGAAATTCAATAAAATAAACAGTATCAAAAATGCTTTACTGTACCCTCGGTCTCGGGACCCTGTATTTGTTGCCCGTCTCTGTACGCCGCCATGAAGTATGAAATGTGAGAAGCCATCCCCGCGCCCCATTCTCCTCCCCGCCAGACCCCGAGTCCGTGATCAAAGGGTCTGAAAACCGGCCAGATTTCAGCGGGTCGTTCGGAGGCCAATTTGTCAAGAGAGGGGGTCTTCGGCCCCCTTTTCTCCACCTTCCTTATTGCAATCTTATCTCTTGGGGTGCGTTGCCATGTAGACGAAGGCACGAATGGAGTTTGGCGACGTTACCACGCTTGAGAAATTTTCCTGGTTATCTCTTATGGTAGGAGCCCTTTTCACCCAAACTTTTTTCCCCAATGGCCAAAAGTCCAGAGTCACTTAATTGTCCATACTTTTTTCAACCTAAAAGCACCAAAATTCGTCAAAAGAAAATTCATCCTATAACTTCACCCAAATCTCACCCTATAATTTAGAATAAATATGCCGATGAAATGCCGGGTCATTTCCCCGGAAAACTCTTCAATTTCTACTCGGTCTGGAAAACCTGGACAAATCGGTTTTCCACGACCAAATTGGAATCCTAACAAGCGTTGATTCGCAGCTGCGTGGCAACATAGAAGGTGATCGAGTACCGTCTTCTCCCCGTCGAAGTCGAGTCTTCGCTCCTCTGACGCGATTCTCCCTTGAGCCCTGATGTCCGTATGACTCCATACTTTCCGGGCCTCATCTATAAATAGAGATACGCCTTTATGTCAGAGGGGGCGAGGGCGAGATTCGGCGGAAGGATTTATGCGAGGAGATCGGGCGGAGTGTCACTGATACTCTCCGATTAGCTCAATTTACTCCCGAGCCCCGGTGGTGGTCAAGAAGTTTCGACCGTGCGGAGTCCTCAACTTCGCTGCCGTGCTAAGGAAAAACGCCGTATGAACCTTCAGGCGTTGCCAAATTCCCTCTGATAAACTACGAATCCATTGGGGAAGTTATGCATATTTTTTCCCTGAATTTTCAGAGTATTTTGTTCGCAATTTTATCTTTAACGTCTGAAAATTTCAAGGAATACATGCTTAAATTTCGTCATAAAAACATGTTTCATTCGAGGAAATTTGGCAACTCTCGGATGTTCATACGGCGCTTTACCAATGCACGGCAGTTCGGGCGTCTGTCGGACGTTCGGACAGCGAAAGACGATCCGCTTGTCGACGTGCACCTCAGGGATGATCTCTGTTCGTGAGGTCTACGGTCCAGCCTGGTTCGACCACCCTCGTCTAGAACTCGCCTGTGGAAGATGACAGCCGGAAAAAGACTTGTGGGCTTCGCGCGGTCGTGATGTTCCTTGAAAGTCACGTCCCAGATTCGCAGTACTTAGTCGCGAATTTTAACTTCCCTGAATGTGACCGCCATCACTGGAAAAAAGTCTTCTGGACCTAGAGTCTTAGTTTGTTAAAAAATTTGATTAGAAAAGGGACTCTTGATTCAATCGCGATTTGTGCTTGACTCAAAAGGAAATCTGTATAAATTTAAAGACTCTGCTCTCGATTCAAGCAAAAATATGCTTGAATTGAGAGTATTTTTTCTTTTCACATTTTTCAAGAGTCCGATCTCAGGATCCAAGAGACTCTCTTTCCAGTGACGGATGAAGGGACGTTAAACAAGGTGATGACAGTAAGGGAAAACCTCTGTAAGTCAAAGAGTTTTGTAAAAGGTAAGGGGATTTTTCAAATATAGAGAAGGCCACTCTGATTTTTGATGACAATATTGGAGAAAAATCGCGTGTCAGGAAAATAT